GTCATTTTAATACCTCTTGAGTCAACTTAAGTAATTCAATGCTAAATTGTCTTCTAATATGTTTTATCTAGTTTTCAAATATGTTGCTATTAAATCAACTGTACATAGTATACTTTTATGTCAGTGCTGTCTATATTAGTAAAATATTTTCCTTTCCTTCCTAATTTGCTTGTTTCTTATACTTTTTCTTTTAATCATTGATACTATATCAGTCAGCTCAGGCAACAATAAATCTCCATCTCAGGTGCTATAACAACACACATTTTTCTTTTTTGCTCTGGGTTTTCCAGTGTGCTAGGCTTTGGCTGCTCTCAATTGAGCTTGCCAACACTAAGCTATAGTGAGCAGGGCCAGGGCTTTCAGGTGAGTTCATGACTATTCTATATCATGTAATTTACCTGATATTAGTGGCTACCAGGAGCATATTTTTCCCATGATTGGGAAAGAAACACAAGAGGCCACATTTAACCATGAGTACCCTTGAGGCTGCTGTTCTCTTCCGATCTGCTCACAGTCACACAGCCAAGGCAAATATCAAATGGGCTGGGTGTTTACTCCACGCACTCCTGTGAACACCTCTGCAAAGTACTTTAGCAAAGGACATGGCATGTAATTCTATAATAAGGAGGAAGAAAAACCTTGGAAACAATAATTCACACTACCATAGTCACATTTGCCAAATTTTATGAGGGATTTTTTTTTTTTGCAAAGAACCAGTTTTTGTTTTACTAGCTCTGTAATTATTTCCTTATTCTAGTTCATTAATTTAATTTTTTAAAATTTCTTAATTACTCCTTTTAAATATTCAGTCATCCCTTGGTATCTCGGTATCTTCAGGGGATTGGTTCCAAGATTCCCAAACCCACCGGTGCTCAAACCCCCTATAAAGTGGTGTTATGTTTGCACATAACCTATACAATTCTGCTGTATACTTTAAATCATCTCTAGATTACTTATAATACCTAATGCTATGTAAATAATTGCGATAGTGTTTAGGAAATAATGACAATAAAAAAATCTGTATGTATTCAGCACAGACATAATTATGGTAGCCTAACTAGGTTTTGATCTGTGGTTGGTTGAATTGGCAGGTCAGGACCCCACACACAGAGGGCCAGCTGCACTATCTCTCAGTCCTGTTGAGCCCCTGATCCTGGGAGGACGATTTCTGAAGCTCACTGTTTCTGTCATCTCTCACTTGCTTATTTTCTGTTAGGTTTGGAAATTTTTGCAAGGTAAACTCAAATTGGATCTCCACCTCAGAAAAACTCAAATTGAATCTCCTTCCCTTCTAGGTGAAGGGGTCTCCATTGCTTTTATGTCTCCACAGTCTACTAGGTTGTGACAAGTTAATACACTTGAAACAATATTTCATCTTGGCATAAATAGCAAAATTCAGTAGTAATACCAGCATAAATTCAAACCCCAGATCTGAGTGCACAGACGTATGGATATACACTCTTAAGAGAGAAACATTTTCCTCACCAGATAAAGATTTTTTTTTTTAACATAGGTTATCTCTAGGTAGCCCAGGCTAGTCTTGAACTCACAATTCTCCTTCCTCAGTCTCCTGAGTACTGGGATTACAGGCATGTTCCACCACACATTCTTACTATTCTTTTGTTCACAAGCGTACTTCTTCCTTTCTTTCCCCAATCCAGCTTTTCTTTTTTTTTAAATTTTTATTTTATTCATATGTGCATACAATATTCGGGTCATTTCTTCCCCCTTCCTCCACCCCCTCCCTTACCCCCCCTTGCCCCCCACCCCCTCCCTCTCCCCCCCACCCCCTCGCTACCCAGCAGAAACTATTTTGCCCTTATGTCTAATTTTGTTGAAGAGAGAGTATAAGCAATGATAGGAAGGACCAAGGGTTTTTGCTAGTTGAGATAAGGATAGCTATACAGGGAGTTGACTTGCATTGATTTCCTGTGCATGTGTGTTACCTTCTAAGTCAGCTTTTCTCTAAGCACATTTAGGGTCCTGGTATTGTGCAAATCTCTCCATTTTAAATCCCTACTTTTTGAGGAAATCTACTGTTTGCTGTAAGAGTTGAATGTCCTTTGTCCTCTGAGCCCATGGGCCTTGCATAGTTGTACCAATAGTTTCAGGAAACACAGCCCTGAGAGGGGTTTTCTTAACAGTAGGATCCCCTCTTGGTGCCTGGCAGGCTCACTGTAACAGGAATGGGGAGGGGTGTATACAGGAATGGTGAGTTGAGTGTATACAGGCTGATGGCCCTTGAGAAGCCAAAGCACCAATCATAAGACAGAGTCAAAGGGAAGTGACCTGGCCTTGCTCCTCACCAGGAAGAAAGCAAACCTCTTGAGTTGTTTGTGAGACAAAGTGTTTCAGAGGGTGACTGTGAATTTGGGAGAAAGCAGGTAGGTATCAAAGGTCAAAACAGAGGCTTGGGCCACTTTATCAGGTTGGCGATGATAAACACTGGACACTCCTGGACCCTCAGACCTGGAAGAGCCACAGCCTGGTCCTATATCTGCCCTGCTCCAAGCCTCTCCTTCTATCCCTACTCTATCACTGAGTCCTTCCTGGGTGCCCAGCCCTGGGGGACACCCTGGGGACAAGGAAGTGAACTGAACACAGGTCCAGCCCAAGAAAAGCAATAGAAGCCAAGAGGGCCCAACTGAGGACACAATGGCTGGAGGGCTCACCCGTTCCAAGAATCTTTCTTGAGCACTGACAATTTGTTTCTGCCAGATGGGCTAGGGAACAAGACTCTGCTCTCATGAAGTCCTCATTCTAAACGGATGGGGTGGTCAATATATCACATAGAAACAAGCAATAGGCAGAAAATTAATCAGAGAATTATAATTTGTCAATAGAGCAACTACTTAAAATTAAATGGTTAGGAAAGCCCTTTCTCGTTAACTAATATTTAAGCTGTTATCTGAATGACAACAACCAACAATGAAAGACAGAGGTCAGTCCTTGCAAAAGGCCACATTCAGCTTTGAATTTAGTTATATACAAATATATGTTCCCCTGTATCTAACCCTATGATATGCCCAAGGGAGACATGTGATAAATGTTCTGATTGAGAAGGACAGAATGAGATGACCCAAGGTTAAAAGTTTTTAATCTCGCCACACTGGTCTTGCAGTGAATAAAGGACAAATGGAGATGTCACAACAACTGATACAGAGCTGTGTGCTTCTACGTGTGTGTGTGTGTGTGTGTGTGTGTACCTCTGTCTGGTACAGTCTTCAAATGTTTCTTTTGGAAATAAGTATCCAGAGGGAGCAACATTGAAAGCCTGTGATTCTATAAGATCAAAGTTGCTGGGCTGTAGGGATGGATGTGTGGAAGTGGGCAATCGAAGCAGGAGTTTAGGGTATTGAAGTACAGAACTGCTCGGTGCTATGCTGCGACCCCACCAGCAGCGCTGGAGAGTTGCCCAGCTACTACAGTCCTAAGGATAGTTGTTTATTAATCTGGGGTCGAAGTCCAGTCCAGTGCAGTCCCCTGTCACTGGGGCAATTGGGCCTGACATTACAGAGAAAGCTGCCAGATGCCTGGGCTGGAGAACTAGCTTTCCCTTCACTGCCTCTGTGCTCCACAGGAAGCCTAGTAAGTTATTTCTGGAGGAAAGGGATGGGGACCTGGGCCAGGAGTCTGGTCTCTTGGTTTGAACCTGGTGAGGTTCAGGCAGAGGCATTAGTGGGGCCTTCATGCCTTCTTGAGTCGCAGACTGTCTGTGATCTGAGGCATCCTTGTCATTCCAGATCTCCTGGACCATATGCACACTTAAGAGGGGTAGTCTTTTCCAAAGGGAGAAACAGCAGTGTGTGTGGGGTGGGGGGGGGCGGGGGTACCAGGAACATATACAATCCCTGACCTCCAGTACCATCAGGGGAGGTTTTTCAAAAAGAAAGGAGAAAGATGGAGATGAATGTGATCACAGGCCTCTTTCAGCTGGCCACCTCTCAGTGAGTGCTGGAGGCAGGGAAGGCTAAGGGAGTCCACAGGCAGTTCAACCAATAGTTGTACATCAATGGCCAGGAATCTGAGCTGGAGCACAGCTGAGGAAGAGGCCAAGCGTCTGGCCTGCCAACGCTTCCTGGAGGAGGTTCCATCTTGAGCCAAGGTGGATGGCAACTTGACTGCTGCATGAGGGCTCAGAGCTGGATGTGGGCAGCACATTCTGTGGATCCTGCTAGAAGAAGGAGCAGACCTGGGGGAGCATACATTTCAGAAGCCTGGGCTCTGCCTGGCAGAAATGGGTTCTGGGTGGAAAATCTCAAGGAATGTCTCATCTGGACAGAACTAATGTCCAAAGAGGTTTCCATTTTGTGGGTTAGAATCCTGCTTCAGGGCACTCTGAGTCTTGAGTCTCCAGGAAGTGACTGTCACAAAGCAAGGACTACAAAAATGGTCCGCAGGTTTTTGAGGAAACAGCTGAAGGATGAGTGGTGTCCTGGTGAGTGGAACAGGAATTTTTATTTCAAATGGGAGTATGGATATTATAAAACAAGGTCCATCCAAGAAATGGACCTTGTGACAACTTGGGTCCCTTCTACAGTTTAGGGCTAGCTCTAGGGCCCATGGAAATGGAAAAAGAGGGAGATTATGGTTCCAGTGGCCAAGAAAAGGAATTAAGAATTAGAGGAGCCATGACCCATTCAGGCAGTGGGCTTTCCGCCTTTGTGCTGGGCAACCAGGAGTGGGGCTAGCTTATAATTTTCAGTGGTAGGATGTTAGGTAAGGAGTGCCAAACCACTAAGTATTGTACCCAAAGGGGCTCTGGACCCCAGAAAGAAGCAGGCCCAACTCCTCCTGCATCTTCTTTGGTTTCAGCACTCACATAAGTCTCATCTTTCTTACCTGTTGGTCACCCTGGTGGCTTGGAAGCAGGTCAGAGCTGAACGGTGTGATTCCTTCTGTTCACTGTCCCTAGCACAGTGCATCACAGGCGATAGCAAATGTTAACTAAACAAAATGAGATGGACTTACTTTCCTTGACTTTTCACACTCCAAGGACCATGATCCTGATTCCTTCACTCCCTCTCCTTCTCCTGTGTACGGTGAGAGTGTCCTCCTCAGAGCTGAAAACCTGTGAAGAAGCCCAGAAAACCTGCTCCGTGATCAACTGCAGTGTTCCAGGCAGAGATGGGCGAGATGGAGCCAAAGGAGAGAAGGGAGAACCAGGTACAGGGCGGCTGCTCTGGCTTCCTAAATTCTGACCCCTCCCCCCAGCAAGTGGTCTCTAGGCTCCAATATGGTGGGCACTAGACCATTCAGAATAATCCCTGTAAAATGTCACTGCTTCCCAATCAAAGGTGCCCTCTGAATCTTCAGGATCCTGTATTTCCACCTTGGAATTAGGACAGGCCTTCCAGCAAGGGGAGGCAGAAGATTCTTTCTTCTCTGTTCCCACTAACTTGTTGACTGGCTGGGGTCAGTGTGAAACTTCTAGAGTGTTGAGCTTCTGGAGAAAGAGAATGAGTGACCGCCACTGGGTTGTGTTTTCTTTGTCTTCAAACAGGTCAAGGGCTCAGAGGCTTACAGGGCCCTCCAGGGAAAGTGGGGCCTCCAGGAAATACAGGGTTTCCTGGACTTCCAGGGATAAAAGGCCACAAAGGAGATCCTGGAGACAGTTCAGGTAAGGAGTGCACACCAGTGTGACTGGCCTAAAGGGACCTAGGACCCTGGGAATGGAAGGAAGGTGGGAGGTATCTCTTGTCCTCCTGCTTCACTGGAAGATGCTCAACACTGCTTCCTGAGCCAGTGTCACTTGAGGCTTGAAGGAATTCCCAGTGGTGCCAAGTATAGACTTCTAAATCCCACAGGGCCACCCCTTCATCAGGTTTTAGTAGGTGATGGGACCTGACTGTCCTTCAGCTGAACATGCAGTGTGAGGCTCCAGGCTGCAGGGGAGGACATGGGTCCTTTTAGGAGTGGCATTTGTGTCTGTCGTCACAAGAATGGTGTGAAGGTAGGTGGTCTGCCTCACAAAACTTCTGGGTAGTAGGGAACATTACAGCAACTTAGTTCAGAGTGAAATAGGGCAGATACAGTATGGACAAGAAAAAATGGTAGCCCTTTTATTAATATTCTTTTATCAGTCTGTCAAAATAATAAACTATTAAAGAGTTTTCCTGAGATGGGAAATGAAAAAGAATCTCAGAGAAATGTTTTCAAAAAAGAGACTAATGGGCATTTTCTTGTAAATTACTATGATATTACAATATTTAAGCACCATGCAAAGAAAATTAATCCAGAACGATAATCACAGATTGTTAAGGTAACTAAGGCATATCCAGGAAGGTAGGAATATAGGGTTTTGTTTGTTTGTTTGTTTGTTATTGTCTTTTTTTTGCTTTCTTATTTTTTCTGAAATAAGCCAATTTTTTTTTTCATGAAATTCTCTGCCCTCCAATTTAAGGTCTTCTCAGTAAATACCTTCCCCCCCTTGCTTTACAGTTACTGAGACCAAAGTGGCCAACTTGGAGAGAGAGATAAACATCCTGAAATCAGAATTGGAACACACCAAAAAGTGTAAGCTTTTCCTCTGCCTCAAGGCAAGGAGCAGAGGAAGTGTTGAATGGAGGACTGTAGTCTCCAAAATCTTTGCTCCTTCTCCTCATTCACTCTTCCTAGATAGTCTCTTTCCTATCCTGGTGCCCAGCTTGACAGTGAGGCACACACATATCTCCCTGTGTTGGGGCAGATTTTTGCAGCTGTTGGTCTCAAGGGTGGGATAGCCCAGGAGAGTCAGGCTGCCTGCCAGGGGCTGTGGATTCCCTCCCTGGCTCTGCACCTGGACATGCCTTTCTCCTAGGCTCTGGCCTGAGGGTCTTAGGCATGGGACTACTTTTCAGAGTGCTCAGCTCCCAGAGAAGGGTCTTTTCAACTACTCTCCAGGACTGGGCCCCAAACTGAGTTAGCATCATCTACTGTGATTTCAGTGCTACACTTCTCTTTGGGCAAAAAGTCTGGAAAGAAGTTCTACGTGACCAACGGTGAAATGATGCCTTTTTCTAAAGTGAAGTCCCTGTGCAGGGAGCTCCGGGCCACTGTGGCTGCCCCCAAGGATGCTGAGGAGAACAGGGCCATCCAAAATGTGGCCAATGACAACGCCTTCCTGGGCATCACAGATGAAGTGACTGAAGGCCAGTTCATGTATGTGACAGGAGGGAGGCTGACCTACAGCAACTGGAGGAAGGATGAGCCTAACAACCATGGCTCAGGGGAGGACTGTGTGATTATACTGAAGGAAGGGATCTGGAATGACATCTCCTGCTCAGCCTCCTTCCTGGCTGTCTGTGAGTTCCCAGCCTGAGGCAGCTCGTTCCTCCAATCCCTCCTTTCTGACCTCTCTGCTGCTTCCAAAGAGAATTCGTTGCTGGTCTTCCTAGCCTGGTATTAAGTCATTCCTTTGTGGGGAGGGCAAGGGAGGGGCATATATTTGATTATGGGATGAGGAAGTGAGGAGAAGCTGACAAGGGGTAGGGGTAGGGTCTGGTCCAGCACAGGGTAAAGGTCACATTTATCTTGCTAGGACCACAGTACTGAGCCAAGGTCAACCACGGAAAAGGCCATGATAAAACTCTCTCCTTTAACATTGAGGATGCTGCAGCTCACCAGAGGGTCCAAAGATGGGCCACACCTGTGCCAGAGTGAGCAGTCCATCTTAGCACAAAGACAACCAATTTCTTTTCTCCAAGAATTGCCACAATGTGGCACCAAACTCTCCTGACATAGGCTCCTCCCCATGGCTGGCCCAGCCTTCTCTGTGGCATGGCTATTGTTTCTAGTGCCCACAAGTTGCTCCAGAGCTCCTTTCTCCCAAGAATTCCCTCACCCTGACCAAGTAGCTACAGCCTTTCTTTAGTTGCAGGGTGACATGGAGAGCAAAGAGCAGCCTTTTCTTCCTGCATAATTTCAGGGGACTGATTTGGTATTGTGGTATATGCTAGCAACAGGGGAGAAAGCAAATGGTCATGTGGAGTGTGCCCTCCACATGAAATACAGCTAAAGCTGTATTTCAATCACAAAATGGTACTAGAAATCATTTTATGAATGTGCCAAGGGCCACTCTCACTTAATGAAAAGCTTTTGCCTACCTTGGTTTGCTATTTTATTTCTCTTTGTATCTGAACTGCCAGGGAGAGCACTTCATAGTAAATATTTATTGAATGGATGCATCGAAAAACTACAAATGGATGAATGGGTTGCTACCAAGAAGTGACTTTCAGGCGGTGCTTTTTCCTGACCAAATGTGCTCCTTCTGCAGGACTATCCAGGCAGGTGTGAGGGTTAGGCTGGTACATGCAGCAGGGATAGAGGTGGCACGACTTGTATCCTTGGCCTCTAGCACACCTAGGATGTCACATTACTGAATTTTTCTTTGGATGACACATGTTTGAGGGCCATGAGAGGACTATTTTTGTGCTGTAGAGCAGAACAATCCAGTACTTCCAATTCAAATCTTGACTGCTTACCAAAGAAAGGTATTGGAAATTGCTTAGAATGAGAAGTACCTATAAAACTGTGGGTTAGGGAAAATAGAAAAAGGAAAGATCAGAAACAGTGTAAAAAAGAAGAGACTATAGGTACAAGATGACCCAGAACAAGAGTTATTGCAACCAAGTCATAGTCAAGACAGAAATGGGAGAAGGCACAGCTAACTCTTCTAGAGTCCTTTCTACTGTATAGTCAGGGGGTTGTCATGGTCTACCCTGACATATAGCCCCCTTTGCTCAATGATGCATAAAGGACAGAATCACCAGCTCTAAAACTGTAGAAGGATTTATGTTGTTTGTAGGGATTGGTCCCCAGCATGTTATCAGTTGCCCCTCACTTAGGGAAACGCAATGGAAACTTTCAGGGCAAGTTCAGATTCTTCATTCTTCTCTCAGGCAGTTTCTATTGGTTCCTTCTTCCCTCCTCCCTTCCTACATCCCTACAAGACTAGAGCCTCATATTCTGGCTCAGGGAGCTGTCTATGCTACCCAGGACCCATCTTCCTTCTCCCTGCTCATGGCCACACCCACCCCTGCCTTGCTGAGTCTCTCCCCTCCCAGCCTGCCTTGCAGGGCACAATGGCTTTTCCATAGGCTTGTGGGTGGATAGAGCCTACTCCTTCCCTGATCTAGTACCTGACATTTCTTTCTCAGCTCTTCTCTCTAAATGTCTCCCCTGCTACTATTCTGACTTCAATCTGGAATAAAGACAAACTGCCTGCTAGATTCATTTCCCAATTCTTACCCCAATCAATGTGGGCCCAATGACAGTTAGCTTGGAAGAAGGTGGAGTTTGATCTAAAAATATAGAATTCTTCTGAGAGTCCAGCAATAGAAATTACAGGTCATCCAGGCCTCGCAGAACCTAAAACAAGATGGAAATGATGGATTCAAGGCATTCCTCTCTCTCTCTCTCTTTCTCTCACCCCAAAGGCCAGGCAGCTCTTTACTAATTATTGACATCTATTATTAGAGAGAACCCAATGAAGTCAGGCACTCCAAGAATAGACCTCAGGGTCTGCCTCAAGCTTTTAGGAATGGGGAGGACTGAGAGGAGTCTCACCATTCTAGAGAAATAGGTGCCTCTGCCATTCATTTCCCATGCTGGATTTTGGACCAGGAAAGTGGCAGAGGTCTCTGAGCTGCCTTTGCTACCTCTTGCACAGAGTGAGAACCTGAAGGCCATGTTTCAGAGCATTCCTGGAAAGAAAGCTGGTGTTCAGAATTCTCTGCAGCCTGGGCTCTGACCCTGGAGCCATGCCAGAGGAAGAAGAAGGCCCAGACCTCTGTGTGTCATGCTAGGGTTGAAGAAGAGTTGGCGTGATGGGTGGGAAGTTCAAAGTTTGGAAGTAGGAGACTGCAGCAGACCGCAGAGGTCACTTCCTTATCATTGCCCTGAGTGGCATGTTAGCTTCCTGGGCCTCAGTTTCCATGTCTGTACACCAGTCTCCAAAGGCTTCTCTCTTCTAAAGGTGTCTGAATCAAAGGGACAGACCATGGGGCCCACTGCAGGATCAGGGCTGACAGAACTGAGAGCTATTTTCAGTTTTACTGTCTGTCAATTTTGTCTAGCCTAATTGTGGGTTAAACATATATCAACTACCTCTGAATTCTGTGGAGAGCCAGGCTGAGTAAGTTGGAATGGCAAATGTAACTTGCATTTGAGATGGGGACTTTGTGTTTAAATTAGCTATGTGAGTCAATTTCCTCCTGTGGAAGTACAGATGCAGTCAATGAGATTGTAACTTACTTCATCTGACAAAATGAAAACAAGTACCAAAGCTGTGACAGTCAAGGCTCAGGTTCTGACTCAGTTTCTGGATCCAGAAACTCAGACTTTGTTTGTACAGCTCTGCTGTAGTCCTTCAGCTCTGTATCTGACGCTTCTTACCATGCCCCAGCTGCCAGGGGAGGAGGTTGCTTAGGGTTCCACTTGAAGGCCTGACATTCACATCTGTCAACCCGTCTTCACACCCGGGTCTAGCCAGCCTCCTTTCTCTGTGCCTGTCAGAGATCAATCAGAACCAGAAATCAGGCCTTGTACTCACCTCTTTGGTATATGTGTCACAGCAAAGCCTTTGACCTGGAAGATTGTTTGCTTATTGTGTAAATGATCTGTACTTTGGAAACTGCCAGGAATAGGGATTTTTTTCCCCCCCATTAACCAGGAAGGGATATGTCGTCATCCAGAGGCCTAGGCTGGAGATGCCAGGAAGTGATTTTGGAAAGTGGTGTTGTCCTGGTAGCCCTGAGAGGCTGACAGATTGCTAGGAAGCCTGGGGGTGCTCAGGGAAGGAGTCCATCTAGGAAGGGGTGCTTCAACCCTGCTGGCCACCTGTGTGGGGAGGAGATGGTGGCTCCAAGTAGGAACCATTCTGTCCAGAGAAACACAGGTATCATGATTATAAGAAATGGGGTGCTATTCATTAATTAGCAAATGCCTGGACTAAACTAGCTGTTGCTGCCTGTCCTGGCCAGCAAAGTGCTTATGTACCTTGTGCAGTTCTTCAGAGTACTGACCAGCAGAATTGACAGGAATTGACTAGAACCTGGACACATCATAGAATTATGGTCCCATTCTGTGCCCAGTGAATTAAAATCTCTCAGATTGAGCCCTTGTGGGGCAAAAAAAAGTCCTGTTTCACTTTACAGTGTCAGACCCTAAACAATCTTTCTCAACCAACTAGTGTCCCACTAGTGAAAAACCAACTTCTAACCCAAATCCCTCCCTACTCATCCCCAGGGTCTAACTACCTCCTGTAACTTTAGGGAGTGGATCAGAGGCTGAGTGTCAGAGCATGGATGCCCTGGGAGACTCTGGAAACTTGTGTGTCCACAAGCTTGGGCTGTTTGTACATATTTTTGTGACTGTGTGAGTGTGTGCTAAGTGTAGATATGGAAACCAGCAGACTCGATGCTTGAAATTCCCTGCATCCTGCTACCAGGACAGTCAGCCAGGTCCTCCCCCAGCCTGGGTCCAGCCTTTCTCCACACATCCTACTCTGAGAAACATTGGCTGTGGATGGTTCCAGAGGCTCAGAGTGAGAAGCATGGCTGCTTAGTCATACACAAAATACTCACAAGTGGCCCTAAGCTGTGTTGTAAGACACCAGGGGATCAATAGAGGTTGTTTGGATGCCAGCAGGTCTTGAACCATGTCACCACTGCCTCCCCATCCTTATCCAACCACTAAATCTAAAGTTTTTTTGACCCCAGTACCAGTACAACACCTGTTCTATTTTCTTCACAGAAACAATAGGTTTTTCATATTGTCTTGATATGTCAGTATGGCAAAGTCATTAAGAGCGGGGACTCTGGAGCCAGACTGACTGGATTCAACTCTTGGTTCTACCATTTGCAGTTGTGTGACTCTGGGTAGGTCATATCTATTTTCTATTCTTTAGTCCTCCTCTTGACAAAACTGGGATAATACTGGGGTCCACATCAGAGGATTCTGTGAGGAATACATGAGCTGGTATAAGTACAGCAATCAGGACTTGTGTTGACCTACAGTGAATGCTAAGCAAGTAGTGGCCCTGCTGCTGTGATTATGACAAGACTATGTCACTCACCTCAGCAGTCCCAGGAAAGAGTGGGAACCATGTGTGCACTCAATTCATAGCTGTTGAATGAATAAAAAAATGAACAAACGAATGGATCTGAGTCCTCCAAAGATGTGTGACTCACCTCCTTTCTCCAGGGCTTAACTCACACTGGGGTGAATCTAGCGAGAAGCAGAACTCCTTTTAGAAGATGGCTATGGGCACAGCCTCCTTTCACAGGTAACCTGGAATCCCAGACCTAGATCAGCAGTGAC